TACCACTATATTTGGAAGACAAATTAAAGAAGAGGGAAGATTAATAATATTCTGTTGCTCCATTAGTCATTGTTAAGCTTTTTGAAAACTAAAATTACTCAACAAAATACATACTAGTAAACAGGTAAATATGGACCAATAGCGTAATTAACACAACAAATGGAATAATGTGTGCACAATTATACCACTATGATTCCACTTTAACTGTCATGGCTGTATCTCATGAAATCCTGGGGTTTGTAGTTTGGGGAGGCAATAGAGCTGTCTTGCGAAGAATTCTAAATATCCCACCCTGAACTGCCAATGAGAGCCAGTGTGGTGTAGGTTGAGGATCAACAACTCTGGAGTTGTTATGTGTCTTCAAGTCATTTCCAACTTAGGGTGACCCTAAGAGGAACTTATCACAGGGTTTTCTTGGCAAGTTTCTTCAGAGGTAGGGTTACCATTCATCCCAGAAAACCAGGACAATCACGGGATTGGAGGGTGTAAAAAACTGGTCATGTTTTAAGCCACAAATCCCAGATTCCTGTGTGAAGTCTACGAAAGCTCTTGCTGCTAATGTCTTTCAGTTAGTCTCAAAGGTGCTACAAGAACTCTCCCAAAATACAGAATTCCCTAGCATTGAGCCAGGGCAAGTTAAAGCAGCCCTCAAGATGAATCATTTCTGCAGTGTGTTTCGGAGCAAATTCTCTGTCCCACTTTCTTTTCCAAGGAGAGTTGAGTCAGCGTCCTGTCCCCTTAGCAACGGTGCCACCTCTTCTTGCTCCTGAAACACTGAGGGCCATGGGGGACTTAGAGTCTGAGGGGCCCTTGAGTCTGAGGGGACCTCTCCTGGGGCCCAGCTGCTGTGGGAGCATGTCTCTGAGCCTGGAGTGGCTCAGAGTGGTGGGAGGCCGAGGCCATGCTGCTGCTCTGTGTCTTCCTCCAGGGAGACCCAGCCAAGAGGTTGCTGGTGGCCATGGTGGGGCCAGAGGGGAAGGTGGCACTCAGGGCAGCAGAGAGGGTCCCTTAAGCATCCTCTACTGGGAAAGGCTTCTTCCTGCTGTACTTGCCCTTGCCGCCCACCCCCGGGAGCCTTCTCTGTGGGGACCTGGCCTCTGCCGCTGCCCCCTCTTGACCACCTCTCTGCCCTCCTGGAGGAAGTAAAAAGGAAGGGCCCACAGGGAGAAGAGGGAGGTGGCAAGGAGCAGTTCCCAGATGGATGACCCTCTGGACAAAATGGAGGATGTGTGGCCCCAGGGGAGCTGGAAGCATGAAATGTATATAAACCCATGCTTTCTTGAGCGGGCTCAAAAATGGAGGGCCTTTTGGATATTCCTCCTGGACAGAAGAAATGGAGGATGCATCTGGGGGAAGAAGGATGCACCTCATCACCCTGTTCTTGGCCATGCTCAGAATGGAAGGTGTTTTGGAATTCCTCCTGTGGACGGGAGGTGGAAATGTAGGGCGCATCCGGGGAAAGGAGTACCCTGGGTTGCCCTCCGTTCCCCTTCAAGCTGTGTGGGGGCTGATGAGCCTTCAGTCCCAGTGGTAAAGAGCTCCCAAGATACAAGGTGGCACCATCCTACTCAGAAGCAGACACAGCTGTTATTATGTGCCTCCATGTCATTTCTGATTTATGCCGACCATATGGCAAAACTATCATAGGGTTTTCTTGGCAGGTTTCTTCAGACAGGGTTTGCCATTTCCTATCCTGTAAGGCTGAGAGAGTGGAATAAGGCTGAATAAGGATTCGAAACTTGGTCTCCATCATCATAGACCAACACTCAAACCATGCTGCCTCATGCACATAAATCTAGGACCCATTAAAATAATCCAACATAAAATTAAAAATATATAATTTAGGCTAACTCTAAAGGAGGAGAAGCTACATTTCAACCTTCTATCCAGGAAGAATCTCAAAATCTCCTCCATTTTGAGCATTGACTGAGAAGCATGAATTTATATTAATGTTTTTGGCTTTTAATTGGTCATGTCCTCCATTTTTCCTGAATGTCCTACATGTTCCCCTGGTTTTGTGGACCAGGTCAAATCATGAGGAAAATTAAATCACTAGAAAAGACAATGATGCTAGGAGAGGTGGGAGAATTATGGCAGCCCTGTTCAGAGGGGGTTTGCCATTGCCATCCAGTGAGGCTGAGAGAATATGACTTGCTGAAGGATAACCAATGGATTTACATGGCCCAGACAGGATTTGAATCCTGGTCTCCAGAGTCCTAGTTCAACATTTGAACCACTATGCCATGTGTATCTACAGTGTAGAAATAATACATTTTGACACACTTTTATGAAGAACCATAAAGTTTATCTTATAGTGACAACCTTTAGAAAACACCCACTGTGTTCTGTATA